TCTACAGCTAAGTTGCTTTAGAAAAATAGCAGGAATAGGCATTTATCTAATGAAGAGTATTTTTGGTGAGTAAAACAGATAATGACTGAGTAACAGCGTCCACATACACACACACCAGTGAATTTCATTTGGTAGGTGGTAAGCTACACTTCGTAGTCAAACCCAATTATTTGCCTAATAAGATCATTGCCATCCAATACTTTAAACAATATTCCCGTACATCAACACTGATGTCCTTTCATATGGTTATGAGACTTGACGCGTTGCGTCACACGTCACACACAGTCTTTCATCCAAATCTACATCTTCGATAGTTCCATACTGAAGATCAGATGACCCAACCAAGAACCTATTGTTTAACAAATTATGTAGAAGAAAATGGATAGATTGAACTTGCTAAGGTAATTACTGATTGGCATCTAGGGTTAGGCGCTCCAATAGGAAACGGGAAGTTTGGTGTCATAGGGTAATTTGGAGGGGATCGTGTGAAGAGATGACAATCTATGAGCGATCGCGGAGCCAGCTAAGGACAACTCCCGAAAAAAAAACAAGAGGAAGTGGAGACTTGCTCCTGAAGCCATACATTCTACTCAGAAACCAATGGGATTATAATAATGACAATAAATAATATTCTCGTAAATCAAAAGCTAATTTACCAATCAGAACTATCCTAACAAATATAATGAAAAAGCCCTATGCGTAAAGACAACTGACTGACCAAATCGAAGTGATCCAGCTGCCGTAGAAGTGTTCTGCTTATTTGAAACCGACCTCATCAACTGTATATCTACCTACCTAGTTTTACTTAACTCAGAGGGCTGAATCAATTCAAATCATACAATTGGCGGTTAGCCACTTGAGTGGACTAGTAATACCCTTAATTAAATCTGCAATTTACACAGTTGGATTTAGAAAACTTCAACACAAGTTTCCTTTGAAAACTGAAATCATTCAGACGACAGTATGACAACTCTCCGTATACTCTTACCCAGCTACGTGAGTTCGAGTAGGGTGGATTGATTAGTGATGTATTTTCTCGGCACGTCCTTCACGATCAAACGTCGTCGTTATAATACCTCTCAGTAGTCAACGGAGTCGAATTTCGCATTCCAGTTAAGAAATATGCTCATTCTTGGACACCGGTACATATGCATATGCTTCAGTATCAGTCGAACGGTGAGCATATGATCAATATAACGTCTTCTTGGTCTAAAACCTGTCTAATTTCCTCGAGTTATCTCTCCCCGAGCACTACATAATCTATGCATGATTACTGTATCTAGAAATTCAGGTACTATCACCAGTCAGGCGAATCCCACTATCATTATCATAGAAACGACTTGTCTCCCTTCTTGTATACTAGAACCAATCAATAACTTAGACCAGTCTAATGGGATTATCTCTGATTCCCGAACACTGCAATTTTTCACCTCTGGAATCATTCCATTAGTTCATGTTGCTTTGCCACATTTCAGATTTAGAGACAGTCTTTGTAACCTCAATTCCAGATGGACCACCGATGTTGACATCACAGCCTTTCATTAAAACTCCAGGTGACACTTAACACACATACACAGTATTCATCAATTATCAAATTTGAAAGGAGACACCTGTCTGTAATCCTTCGTATATAACACACCAAGAACACGGGGCAAGAACAAACAATTAGAACACAAAACCAAACAACCTAAACAAAACAAATTAAAAAAAACAGCATTAACAGCGATCAATAAAAAAGACAATCATGACCTTGTTTATTTGTCCGTTTATTATTATTGTTATTATTATTATCATTTTTGTTTTAATGATTAACAAAAGAAAAATGACCAAGGTCATTTTGACCCGACCTTGACAATAGTAACAATAATAATAATTTATTATTATTATTATCGGATATATTATTACTATTATTATTATCATTGCCATTCATTTTGTTTTATCATTTAGGTATGACAAAAAAACAGAGTAAGTGAACAACAATGGATGAAAGGACAAAATAAAGACGATACATACTACCACTAACGATAATAAGTAGTAGTCGTAGTAGTATGTGATAGGTAAACAGCACAAAAAAAGTATGAATTGGGACCAACAGAATAGACAAAGAAACACACAAACAAACAGAGAAAGAAAAAAACGACAATAAAAACACTGTTTTCATCAAAACAGAAACACACACACACTCACAAACAAAGTCAGCTAATTTACAAATTTTGCTCGATAGCAGTAGTAGTGACAGTAACAATAACAGTAGAAGTTGTAGTTGTGTAGTAGTAGGTGCTGCGCATCAACGAAGGTAAACAAACCTCTGTGTAACCACCAACCACCTGTCCGAAAAATTTATAAAAAAAACTGGAAAACACGAATATGGGGCGCATTTTCAAATACATGTGTTACTATGGTTATTATTATTATGAATATTAGTAACGAAGAAGAGACCAACAGGATGGATAACAATAGTTAAAAATAGGAAGTCAATAATAATATATAAGAGGAATAAAAGAATGGCTGCTTTTTTGAGAATAACCGCCCCCTTCCCGCTCGCCTCCTCCGAACACACCTGCACACACACACGGACTCGTTTCACCTTTTGCATCTCTTTTTTAAGTGAAAATACATGATCTGCCCGAATATATTTGATGCATGGTAGTAGTAGTAGTAGTACTAGTAGTAGTAATAGTGCTAAGTAGTCGTAATATTAACCCTGAGTTGCGATATAATACTTCGCCAAGAATATTATGTAGTACAGAGGAAAAGTAGAAAATAACGATAATAATAGCAATAATAATAATTGTAATAAACAATTGAGCACGACGATATTGAAACAGAAAGAATACATCCCTCCGACACAAATGTACACACGCACACACACACACACAAATACTGATGGTAATGATGAGCATGTTGAGATAGATGACTGTGAACAAAGTATGTCTAAAAAGAACAGTCAAATAGGTATCCTCCTCTCTATGTAGATATGAAGAGGTGACTTCAGACGCGCACACAACGACAGGGAGAGACACGCACGCACGCATGCATGCATCGAAGGATAACCACTACTGACTGACTGGTAAACAGACGAGGTAATCAGAATGAAATGTGAGAGAATACGCATAATAAAGAATAGTTATATGACAACAATAAAAGAAAGAAAGGACAACAATATTACGTAACAAGATAACAGAAGAGAAAACTAGGTAGGATCGACGCACACACACAGAAAGAGACACACGCGCAGAGAGAATGACAATTACGTAATAATAAACAACCACAATGTATATGTATATATATATATATATATATATATATTGAAAATCCTAATTTCAATGCGGTAGTACACGAGTGTAGCACGTAGTAGTAGCGCGTGAAGTAAGGTAATATACCTGTTTTTTATTCACAAACGTAATTAGTAGTAAACTGAATAATAGTCATAATATGATGGATGGATGTTAATGACGGTATTGACGACGACGTTAGAATATCGCAACTGTACAAATATTATTCCATGGTATTGGTGTGTATACACACACACACACAACAATAACAATTGATGATATTGAAGATGACGATAAAGGCAGCAACAGGTAACAGTAATAATAATAGTAACCGTAACGGGAACAAGCGTGTCTGCAGACATACACACATACACAGGAGGCATATTCTCAAAATTAGACTGTAAGGATAGAAGAAAAACAGGAAGAAGAGGGTGAATATGAAGACAACTAGATTTATAGATAGAGAAAAAAAGGAGAAAGAAATCAGAGAAGTATGAATGGTAACACTAGTTAATCGTAGTGTTGTTGTTTGTCATTTTGATTTCAGTTCAGTGATCCAGATCCGGATCAGGTATGCTATGGAGTTACACACACACACATGTAGAGTGTGAAATCTGTTAATACTACAACACCTAGTTTAGTTGCTAACAAAGGCTGAAGTTAAGTGGAGAGCCATGGAGAGAGAGAGAGAGAGAGACTCGAACCTTTGGCCCATTAACTGACTGAAATTTGACTGATGATTAAGCGCGCCAGTGAACTTCTCAACAAGTAAAAATTGAAATCGAAGGAAAAAACAACAAGAAGAAGACAGGGGGTTTAGAAAAAAGGACAAAAAAAGATGACATACATGTACTCTCCATGTGATGAATAGATCTACACAGAAACGTACGCACGCGCACACACACACACACACACACCTGCCATCCACTCCACTCCACCCACACACATACATACACACCCCACAACAACGTTGATACACCCATGCATCCTTCTATCCTCCACAAGAGCAAATATTTTGAAATTAGCCAAATAACTAGTATAAACTTGAAGTTTTGAATAATCAAGCCATGAATGAATATTCTTCATATAGCCATAAACATAAATAAACGTGAGAAAAACAAATAAACAGATAGATAGACAGACAGACACACACAGACAAGTGAAAACGGTATGACAGATAAGCAGACGAGAGAGATAGCAACGCAAAACAAAAAAAACAGCTTACATGATAACAACTACCAACAGTAAAAATGTAACATAGGGAGAGAGAGAGAGAGAGGGGGGCGGAAAGATGGGAAAGCGGGTAATCAGTAAACTACTAAAGAAACAAAGATTACATAATTCAATTATTCTACTGATGATGACAGTAAACAGGACTAACAGAGATATATAATAATATATTAGATAAACACATAAAAGCTAAGCAACTACATATATTAAATGAGAACGTTAAAAAGTGGAGAAGTGTGCACAAATTGTAATAATTTTAAAGCAAGCCTACCTGGCTAGTTGGCTGGCTGCCTGCATGCATGCAAATCTCTTGCTAAAAAGAGACCCAGACAAAGTATGCTCAAAAGTGATGTCCAAGAAACAAAACCCAGTGTTGTGCATAAAAGAAGAGTACTCCATAAATAATGTTGGCTAGTAAAATCACTACTTCACACAAAAGTGTGCACAAATCGAATGTTACCTAATATTTATATCAATATTATATCCTTATGTGGATTAGGCTGGATTCGGTGATGTCCACCAGTCACTGTCATTTCTGAACACCGGTTGTTGCTGTTGTTGTGGTTGCTGCGGTTGCATAACAGACCCATTTTTAGACATATTACCAGATGGACTGGACGCTGTCACAGAATCAATAGGAATATTACATTCCATTTGAGAGTGTTGTGATGTGACATAGGCGTTACAGTTGTCAGCATTCGATTGAATCCCATTATTCATAGCTGCCGCCGCTGCGACAGCCATTGCCGCGGCAACTGCAGCTTGTTGTTGTTGTTGATGCTGTTGTTGCTGGTGTTGTTGTTGAGGTGAGTGGCGCTGAATTCCATTAGATACTGGACAGAATTGTTGATTTTGTGGATAATACTGAACAGGATAACCAGTTTGAATAAGTGTTGTGCCTGGATGAGTCTGTTGTAAGGCTTGATGACTAGTCGCTGAACTTGTTGAGCTCAAAGTACTCCCTCCATTCAAATTACCAGCATGATAAAGTCCAGCCGGTGATGGAAAGACAACAGTCCCCGTAGCATCACGACCATTCGAAGAAACAGTATGCGAAGAGACTTGATTAGAGGCTGGAAATACATTAGCCGGATGAAAAGCTTGATGATAGGTGGGCGTGGCAAAATGTCCACCATTGGCAGCAGGATGAACATGTGAATTTTGAAAACCACTATTATTCATAGCATCATTAATATTGCCAGTATTCGATTGCATTGGATGCATACCAGCGGCAGCAACAGCTGCAGCGGCTAAAAATTGATGCATTGCAGCATTTGGATTTGCAGTAGGCATTAAAGTAGCTGTTTGTGGATGTTGAAGTCTAGCCGGATGATGATGGAACAAAGAAACAGGCCCCGGTTGTAATGAGCTGTTTTGATGCTCATGTGTACCACCACCTAGCATATTGACTCGATTAATATAAGCTGAATTATTTTTGCAAAACATTTTATTCGATTGTTGACTTTGTCCAGGTTGTAGTAATGCATTATACGTGTTATTTTGAGGATGTCTAGCAGGTGTATTACCACCGCCACCCAAAGGGAAGGATAATGAACAATTGCCCAATAGGCCAAGTCCACCATTCGCTACATTGTTGTTGCTACTATTGGTATTATTCATTGGTAAAGTACCACCAACATAGCTAACACTTCGGTTACCGTATTGACGATAATCGAATGAACCATAACTAGGACGATTTCTAAAAATATTTAGAGAAAAAACGAAAGATGTAAAACAAAGAAAATAGATAGTTATAATATTCTATATTTTTATTTGATTGTAATACTGTAACGACAGAAGACAATGGGCAGGTAACAGATCCTTTATTGAAAAAACCAACACATATTTATAGATTTTCATGTACATTATTATTGGTTATTGTTAGCAGAGAAACAGCGTCTTCTGATTGGTCATTTTCTCATCTCTTTGTGACTGTTTCTTCGAAGGTTAGACTATATATCCGCGAATCGTACCCGCCCACGCAAAGCCTGCTGTGATTGGTTGTTGAGTTAGTCTTTGTTCTTGTTGTTTTCTCATTACCAATATTTAGGACGTAAATTATACTGTCTACCAATTTTGACTAGCAAAGAGCTCTCACCGCAGTAGTATTTAACGATCTCGTCACACAACCACTTCCCTGTTGCCCTCGGAGCGCAAAACTCACCATCTCTTATTCAGAGTCAAGTTAAACTTTAAGCACCACTAACTACCAATCAGCGAACGACCTCGAATGTTCCCATGAGGTTCATGCACGCGAGTTCAATGTTGTATAGCGCTTGATTCGTATCAAACGAAGTTATGCTTGCAGTTAGATGAGGATAATGTTTAGCAGTATTGCCTGGATTTGGGGTTGCTTAGAAAGGAGAGATATCGCCTCATGAAAAATGGAGAGAATTACTTCGTTGTTAGGCGGAGAAGAAAGAAAGGATTCATGGAGAGAATACCAGATAGAAAGTCTACTACATTAGTACCTATTGTCACTCGACTTGTGAAACAGGGATCTATTGTACATACTGATGAATTGAAAGGTTATAACTCGAACAGTTGAACTTCTATGCAAAGTTCTATGTTCAAAACAGTGTAAGTCGGTGGTTCGTGATATCACTCAAGTCTTCTCAGCGCAGGAGAAGGAGACCATTGAGAGTGACATTGAGCACTAGGTTAGGCGTGCATCTGAGAACGACATGGAGGAAATCATGTGAAGAAGAGATGAGTTCTTAAGGGTAACCGTTGAAGCCAGCTAAAGAGTGAAGTGGTAGAACGTGTTGACCACTTCATTGATTTGAGAAGTCGCATTAGCCTACACCAGTGGGTTCATCACGGATACACAGAAGGCTCGTTTGACATATACTAACTAACCTATGCCATTTTTGGCTTAGTAGACGTGATAACCGTCTGACTACCTACTAAAGGAGGTGTGCACTGTTCAACAGTTCACTCTGTCATCCTTTGTGGCTGGGAGTGAGATATGGTCATTGAAAATGGAAGACATGGAAAGGCCAGTTAACTATCTTTGATTAAAGGTGTCTGCGTCCTATCTCCTATGTTAAGTGAGTTATACTGAGGTTAGACACCAACAATAAGGAATGTAAATCATCAACAGTAATTCCATACAAGGAAGGAACCTCGGAAGCCTTACGCAGATTACTTAACAAGGCAGGAATAAAAGTGGCTGGCATTCAAACCCACAAACTCAATTAGAAACAAGCTTTGTCGGTTAAAGGATCCTGTAGAGCCATTAAAACAAAACAATTTAGTTTATCTAATACCCTGCCGGAATGATTGTCAGGTCAAATACATACGTCAAACTAGTAGAACAGGGGCAGTCAGACTAGCCGAACATAAAAACCTAGTTAAATCTAGATTGGTTGACCCAAATAAGATGAGAAATAAAGAGAGTAGTTCAGCTATATGCAGTTACACACAACCATGCAATAGGATGGAATAGGATGAGTTTTAAAATCTAATGTCACAGGGTATAGGGAGAGATTGATAACAGAAGCTTTCAAGTATTGGTTTTTTGTAGGGATTTTGTTTGATTGCATGTTTATCGAATCAACTGAAGAGACTACATGTAATAGGAATGATTCAACACCTGTCCCAGATACATGGAAAATTCTACCCCCCATACGACAAATAGGAGAAGACAGAGCAAACTATCAAAATCAAGTCTCGAAGTCGTGTGACCAAAATTGATATGATTATGAACAATAAATTGTGTTCGAAACATCATCCAGTATACAATATTGTTTCACTGTGTGATACATTTAATAAACAAACTAATGTGGAATTACTTACTACCACAGTGCCCAAGTTTTACACATATACTTACCTATTTTCAACGTTTACTTGCACCGAGAATTAAATCTATACCTTCCAGTGTAGCTCCTGAGCATTTTATCAGTGAATCACGAACGCATGAACACGGACACGCACAGACACACCTCTACGAAAAGTTACCTCATTAACAACGAGATACTTGTACAGTCGGCATACAAACTGATCAACCTATATTGTAACGCATAATTAGCAGTGCAAATATACACGCATCCAAACTATTACAATTACCACCTATCACCGCCTATCCTGCCTTACTGTTTTCATATACACTGTATAAATATACAATACTCATGTTCACAATTATTCACCGTACGTGCAATGAGCTTAGTTAAACAGAATTCTCCAATGGAAAAGGATGTCTGGCTATTTTAAAATAAACAAAACGTTCTTGTACAATATAAAGGTGGGGGTGTACCAAGAGAAATAATAACTAGCAAGCCGTGTCCATGGAGCGGCGGTAGAATGCTCGCCAACCACGCCTAATGTGATCCAGGGTTCGATCCCCGGCCAACAGACACACTCCTCCTTTACCTCACTAAGCCAGTAATAAGACTGGTAAAGAAGGAAGGTTGGGGACATAAGGCTAGCAACCCCATCCCATAAAAATAAAACACCACTGCTACCGAAACCTCAGGCCTCTAGCCTGAAACCCTATGTCCCACTGGGAACGCCTTCATGTAAGGCTCGAACCAACCGTCAAAGTCTTCATGGAAAGATGTCAGGTTTCAGTCTGACCACCGTTAAGCCCTTTCAAACATAATCCAATATCAGTTAACATTGCTCGTTAAAGAAAGCGATGATCTAACCATTTCAGTCGGGTTAACTTCATTAGCTTATCGATCGATTGATTTACCCTTCTTACCTATCACTCGATGCCCAACCTCAATACTACTCACCATATTATATCATTTTACACGGGAGGGAGAATGCAAAAAATCTGTGATCAAAGGCAACTAGTCCTGTCATATCTCCCACTTTAAACAGCCACATCTCACAGTAATAAAGGGGAGATAAAGTGAATTGCGTGCGTCGGTGGCACAGTGGTAGAATACTTGTCGACCACCCTATATATGGTCCGGGGTTCGATCCCCAGCCGTGAAATTCCTTTACCTTGCTAAGCCAGAGATAGGACAGGTAAAAAAGGAAGGTTGGACATGAGGCCAGCAGCAACCCAATCCTGCAAAAATAAACACCACTGCTACCGAAACCTCAGGCCTCTAGTCTGAAGCCCTATGTTCCACCGGAAACGTAAAGGAATAAAATTTTATAAAATGATAATAAGGTGAACTGTTGCGTAGTACGCGCGTCCCTCGATAGATAGATAGCAGCTACCGGTCGGGACCTTATAGAACAAGAACACCTTAAGATATTTAAGACAGGATTAGCCTCCAAGTAACGGAATATTCGAAAAAAAAGAGGAGTTACCATGCTAAGTCAATAATAACAATAATGATTAGAGCTAGAGGGAAGTGTGTTGAAGTGTGTAGACTCACTTTTTATTCATATTATTATTATTACTAATATTATTCATATTTCCATTTTTATTACGACGAGCTGTAGATCCTGGAGGATAAGTAACACGTGCCTCTAACCATTGCGGTACAATCTGCTTCGATTCACGGAGTAATTCCACTAAATCACGTACTACATTTTGATTTTTTTCAGAGAAAAATGATGTCGCAGAGCCTGGTTGACCCATCCTGCCTGTACGACCAATACGATGAACATACTCTTCAATATCGGATGGTAAGTCGAAATTGATTACATGCTGTGAGAAAAAGGCAGAGAGATTGAAAAAAAGAAAGAAAGAAACGCCAGTGATACATACCATATATATGCAACATTACAATAAGAGAAAAGATATATGACTCGTCACAAGAGACTTTCTCTATCATTCACGATTGATTAGTGAAGCGTTTAATTGTGAAATACTGACCAAATCACTCATATATATATATATACACCTTAAACATCCCGACCAATAGCTGCTAACTTGATGTGGTGGTCGGACTTCCATATCTCGATCATCCAACAACCTACACTGACCACTACTACTTATGTTCCCGCAGGTCCTACATGCCACGAAGATTGTTCGGATAACCATTAGACTAAAAGCAGTTACCGGAACAGTGTAAGATTTTTCTACACTATGCTGGGGGGCATGGATGTAACAGCAGTAAGGTGTCTCCGTCATATGACCAGAATACCAGCCACCTATGCTGTCTCCCCAGCCTGGAGAGAGAGGGTTAGAAAAGGTCAACTCCGAAAATTGTACATCCCAACTTACCCCTACCTACGATGGTTCGTAGTCCACCAGTAAGTCACTAATACCGAACCAAACCTAAAAGCCAGTTCAAACAGGTTGTGAGTGCGTGAGTGTGACCAGCGGGCCTTAAGCAGTTGTCGCCTGGGCTCTGTGGTCACGCAGGTGCATCCCAAGAAAGAAAATCAACTTCCACGGTGTGGACAGCCAAGAAAGCACACAAAGCCCTCCTGAGCATCATTCTCCACACTATCCACATCACTCTTATCATCTTGTTTTCCTACTAGTGCTAATACTATTCTGCAGGCTGGCCAGATATGCTTCCTTGCCTTCTGTGACCATAAACAGTCAGTCAGAAATGGCTGATTTTAATCGGTTGCTTGATGTGCAACAGAAAAAATAAAAACAATAGCATCCAATAAAATGCGTCGTCGGTGGCACAGCGGTTATGACTCTTGCCGATCATGCACATGATCCGGGATTCCATTCCCTGCCGACGCACACCTGATATCTATGGTCGGTCTGCAAAATTAGGGGCTACTGATATCACATGCTGAAAATTCCATACCTGTACCAAAAATACGGTGTGGAATCAAGCTGTAATCAAAAATAATAATAAATAAGGTTAAGTGAATAAATGAAACAGGCATAAGAATTTAACTTCTCTAGTATCTACAGTCAGATTTAAATAATCACGAGAACCTACGGATATCATCCTATACAAAACAAGAGAACTACACCACTTACTCGTTTTTTTTCATCTTATTATAAAATCGTGGGTCTGTTCTGGCCAGCTACACCAGAGGTTCGGGTTCGACTCCCAGTTAAGACGGACACACTCCTAAACCATGGTCTAGTGGGCAGTAATTTCGGAAGGAAAGTCGTGAGGACAACAGTTTCTTCATCCCGTAAGAAACACTGACCCGCTTAAAACTACAAAGTCTGAGGCGCTATATTCCACTGGGAACAAAAAACTCAGCAGTGCCTTTGACAAGGCTGTCGACTCTATATGGCTGATGATAATCCTGATTATGGTTGACTCGATCACGTGACAGGCCAAGAGAAGCACGAAGAGACGAATAAGTTGGACTGTGATGAGAAGACTCTACAAGATCTGGACATCGTGGGCGATTAGTGTCTAAGAACACACAAACTCTCCAATGTAGTCAGTGCTACTATACGGTTCAGAAACTTAGCGCGTTATAAAGAGCACCTCACACAAACTATAGACCTTCATTAACAGTTGTCTTCGCTCAATACTTTACTCAAGATCAGATGACCAGCCAGAAAAGATTAGCAATAGGGATCTCTGGCAGTGAGCGAACCAACTAGGAACCGATTGTTAAACAAATAGGTAGGAAGAAATGGGGGTTGATTGGTCATACTCCGAGGAAACCACCAAGTGATATTGCTAGACAAGCCATCGCTCGAGTGGAACCCGAAAGGAAAACGGAGAGTTGATCGTCCAAGGGTGACTCGGAAGAGGTCATGTGAAGAGGAGATGAAAGCATGTGGGCAGACTTGGAGCCAGGTGAAAACTCTAGCAGAGAAGCGAAAGCAATGGAGACGCGCGGCTGAAGCCCTATGTTCCTCTAGGAATTAAAGGAAATAATAACAATAAACAAACTCAGAGACCTACAGGGGAAAACCAACAAGTTGGCAGAGGAAACACAGAAGATAAGAATTAAAGGAAACATGGAGAAGACAGCGGTGATGAAGATTAGCACAAATTCACTATCAACGGAATCAACTTGAATGAGGTCACTTTCTTCACTTATCTCGGAGACACATCGTTTCAACTATAGATGAAAAGGATGGGGATGTTAAAACCAGAATCGGAAAGGCAAGGCCAGGCATGCCTTCATCTTTCTGTAGTCAGTTTGACAGTCCTCTGCACTCAACACACAGAGTATAAGATTTGAATTTTTAACACTAATATCAAGCCAGTTACTGCTTCTATATCGACTTAGATGCTCAGTGTGTCCCTAAAAGCATTTCCAACAGGCTTCAAACTCTCAGACAATAGTTGCCCAACTTCGTTGGATGCTGAAGATCAGATGGCCGGCTAGAAAGGATTAGCTGAATGAAACTCTGACAACGGATCAACTAACCTACCAACAACAACCTATTGGCCAACAACTATACCGAAGAAAATAGAGAAAATGGGTCGAACACACACTGCGGAAACTAGTATGCGGTACGATGAATTTGGCGTGGGTTCAAGAATGTATTATTATTATTATATCCTTTAGTTCCTAGAGGAACATAAGGCTTCAACCACGCGGGTCTCGGTTGAGTTCGGTTCTCTGACAACGTTTTCATCATCTGGCTGCACATCTGCCCACCTGCTTTCATCTCCTCACCCTCACACTAACGACTAACTCGTCGCTTCCCATTCGGATTCCACTCGAGCGATGGCTTGTCATGTGATGTCACTTGATGATTCGTTTTCTCAGAGTATGGCTAATCCACCTCTATTTCTTCCTGCCTATTTGTTGCACAATCGGTTCCTCGTTGGTTCGCTACCAGAGATCCCTGTTGCTAATCTTTTCTGGTTGTTCATCTGATCTTGAGCATACTATTGAGAGAAGACAGCTGTTGATGAAGATGTGTAGTTTGTTCGAAGTGTCCTTCGTGATGCACTGGCCAAGTCTCTGATCCACATGGTGAGTAGCACTGACTTCACATTGGAGTTGAAGATGCGGATCTTATTTTTGATGCTGAGTGCTGTTGACCTCCACACATACTTGAGAGTAATGAAAGCTTGTTTTGCTTTCCTTGCTTTGATATCCCCGTCAGTTCCGCCCGTAGTTGAAACGATGCTTCCCGGGTAGGTAAAGGAGGTTGTTTCTTTCAGGTTCCTCCCATTTATGCTGATTGTTGTCTGTTGTTGTTGCTGTTGCTGTTGGTGTTGGCGTATCATTTATTATTATTTAAACGTAGAAAAAATTTGGTACAATATGGCACCAAGACGATGCGCCACACAATAATAATAAAACAACATAGATCAAAAGTAAAACTATAAGAAGGGAATGGATGAAGAACTTCATCTGGAAGGAAAACAGTCATACTTAACAAGTTCAAACAGTATTTGTCGACTATCATCAAGGAAGGGATAAAAGAAGGAAATTGCAGCATGTTCGCCATTTATTAGGATTCTTGGTCATACCGCATAACGTTTCGAGCTATCTCTCGGACTCCAACCAGGGAGACGTGACGCACCAACCGATGCTAACCTAGCACAAACATCCATAATCCCACGACGCCACATCATGGACTGACCACCTCTCCGCCTTTTCTATCCCACTCCAGGGATAGTGAACAGAGACCTGTACGAAGCCTGTGGGATGGCATTCGTAGCACATGTCCAAAACACCGAAGCCGGTGTTTTACAGATGATAACACTCAACAAACGGTGATCACCACTGTGTTCAGACACACGCCGCCGAAACTCAGAATTACCCACACGGTGATGCCATTTCTCCCCTTGTATCTCATCAGGCAAAATTTATGCTCGCACCAGTAAGTACAAAAACTCAACCATACCCTACTTAGCTCGTGTTCTGTGCGATAAAGAAAGCATTAGGCGTGAAACCTTAAACTTATTAAATAGTCAGTAGAACAACTGGATCTCGTCTTTGCAACTCATATCATTTATAGGTACAACGTTTTTCTTTCTTTCTTTTCCTTTTCTCCCTCTTTTTTTTCCTGTTATGTGCAGCTTTGTTTCTTTCTTCTGCTTACGCCAGTAAATATGCTAGCACCTACTTTTCTAACACCTTCAAACACTCTGTTCAATTTTGGCTTTGCTACCGACATGCTAATATGTTGTTGTCAAAACTAACTGAGATTACCCTTAATCTATGTCGAATTTTATTTTATTGTTAATTTACTAACTGGATGCAATACTGTGTGTAGTGAAATGCTGAGAATTCCATTCTGTATCGCAAGTACTGTTTTGGAATAAAGCTATTATTATTATTATTATTATTATTATTATTATTATTATCGAACGCAAGCAAACCTGCGGAGATGGCGATGGTCGAATACGCAGAGCCGCCCCACACATCCTCAGCCTACTCGGAGAGGCCAGGTTTCACAGGCGTAGAGCAACACAGGCCGCACTGACGCATTGTATACCCGACCTTTGACAGCCAGGCTAACGTCGAGACGGCGCCAGTGACATGCGGGATATTAATTGAGGAGCAGAGGAAAGCTTATGGGCAATCGTGCAGCCAGCTAAAGAGAATTCCAGAGAACAGGATGAAATAGAAACATCCTGTTGAAAGTTCGATGTCCCACTCATTTTACTAAAGTGTTACAGTAATATGAGTGACAAAGCGGATGGACAGGTCAGAATACAGTATTGAAAAGAACACAAGTTTTGGTTCCCACAGTTCTTAACGCTGAAGTGAACGTAAACAGATAAGCAATTATACTAAACTGGACGAAAAGCGACACATAAGACGAAAAAATAACACTGGATGAAGGAATAATGCTGTTCACAATATCAAGGGCAATAAGCCAGTTATAGAATATTAAACATGTTATCACTGGAAGTAGGGTGCCTAGACTAGTGAACCACAGTGCTCCACTGAGACCATAAGACTAGACAAAATCACCATGGAAACGTACATATATTGATTAGTGTCACTTCAAACTGGAAAGAACTATATCGTCACATCAACTGTTCATCGCAAGAGTAGTGATATATCGCTCTATCTATCACATAAGTTTCCTAAGCATTGAGTACAGAACAACAAGAACTCTCAAAGTAACTTATTGTCAACAACAAAGAATACACCACGACAGTATAAATAGAGAAACTAACCTTAACATTTGGTATATCCAAACCACGAGCAGCAACTGCTGTGGCAATGAGAATAGGCGTACGACCAGATCTAAACGATTGCAGTGCATGTTCACGTTCCGTTTGAGGACGTTTACCATGGATTGAAGCAACTGGAAAATTTAAATGGCCTAAAAATTTTGCCAAGATATCAGCTCCACGTTTAGTTTCAACAAACACCAAAGCCAAACCATCTGGATCTGAAGTAACATGAAGAAGCGTAGATGTTAGTCATACACGACAACAAGGCATTAAACATTTTTACAAATTCAAAAAAAGGAGTAATGTGAAGGTGTGAAAAAAACAAAGATAAAGTTTACAATGATGCATTCAGGGTTCATTTTTAAGCAGCAAGAATTTCTTCATAGGTGAGAGAGATACAAGGAATCTGAGGGTGTGTCTTTGTATGCAAACTGAATGTCAACTTTTGTCAACCTCAACGAACTTTGCCTTAGACTTTATTCATACCGTAGATACAATGACAACTCTGCTCAAGTGAAACACATCGAACCAACAGTTGCTGCCTTGATGTGTTGGTTGGGTTTGTCTGTCGCAATGACCCAACGAGCGATATTAGTTGAAAAGAATGTTTCTGAAGGTACTACTAACATACCAGATGGGTTCTTTTGGTGGTAGTTAAACTAAAAGCAACTACCATCATAGTCGCTTACAATGAGAGCGAAAAGAGGTGTAACAGCAGCAAGGTGTTTCTCTAGGACGACCAGTAAGTCAGGCACACAGTCGCTCCACTCGTGAGGCAGGGTAGCGTTGGAAAAAGGTCAACACCCTAGTGGTAAGATCTTGATATGGACACAATTCAAAAAATCAACTCACAAACAATCCGTACATGACTGGTCTCAGAAAGCTATTCCCTGAGTTTGCAATCGCGTATTCCAGGAAGACACCAACTTTCCTGGTGTGGGCAGTCGGTAAGTAACAACCGCACACACGTATACAAAGCCTCCTTAACATCAGCATCCACCTGCATCTTCTTGCTTTCTCCTACAAATAGGTCACTTACCTTCTAACATTGCCACCACCAATACTGACCTGAGATAGAAGAAAACTTCCCTGAGTCTCTTGAAACCACACCGCGACAACTTCATATCTGAGCGTTCAACGTCCGAGCTTTACGACAAGTCAGACAACAAGACAAGACGATTGTCATAACTCGAACATCTCGCGCTACGTATGGATGTTGGTCTTTAGGAGACACGCATATATCAAAACCCAAGTGCAGTTATTCAGCTAGCCCCACTGACCAACAAGGCAGATCTGCAAAATTCACCTGACAAGTGTCAGAAGATTTTTCGGCTAATTTGTGAGGAATTCCAAGTGTTTGGAATGCTACTAGGGTGGAAAAATTCGTACTCCACTGAGTCCTAGTAGATAATCAAGGTGTGTTAGAAGGAGATATTGTGATACTTGTCGATGTCTTTTACTAATCTCCGCTTACACCTCAAACAACTGCAGTTAGGATGAAGTAAAGAATGAGTTCTATCAAAAGCTGTCTAGTTTGTTGCCAAAAGTAAAATGGCTCAGATACAGTCATTTTAACAGGTGACCATAATGCTCAAGTAGGGAAGCTATGCACCAATCAGAAAAGTATATCGATTGCACCAACGAAGCTTCATACCAACGGTCCACCGAAGGTGATTGTCTATCATAATTCTGTTCACATAATCATCTGTTCCTACACAGCACTAATTTCAAACATACGGAGAGGCGTTGCCTCACTTGGTGACCTGAAACATCAAACTTATGACTTAGCTATAAGCCATCGGTGGAAAGAGTCGGTAGGATACTGCCACTCCTTCTGAAACATCTACACAGACTCCAATCGCGCATCAGTTCATGCTTGTATATTGGACTACGAATAAGACGACATGGAATAATAGGCAGCAGTGAAGCCGGTACGCCTCAAGTTTGCCAAGAACATGAAGTCTTTTTTTATTTAAGGGAGATAAAACTTGACGCGTATCTGAGAGTGCTGGCAAAACTCATCCTGAAGAAGACTGGCATCAAATTCAGTCTACTGTTTTGAAACAGTGTCAACTGCTACTGATAATCTGAAACTAAAGGTTAGTTAGTGTATACCAATGGATTTCCGCTGCTTCATCCAAACCGGCATACGTAAGGAGACTGACTCTTGCGAGCTCTGAACATGACGAGAAGCGGAAGCTCAAATGCAAGCTGACTAAAAGCTCTCGTGTAACGATCATGAACAGTGGTGGGCGACAAAAGCCAACAGATGACTGACTGATTGGTATCAACATAAAAATCTTCACAGATATGCGGCAGTTCGAGTTGCCACTCCCCCCATTCAGCACACGAAGCAAACGAAAAGATAGGAAAAGCATCAGCTACAGCCAATACAAGACAACTTATTTAGACGGATTAAAGACATGGGCTGCAAAGAAACCAATGAAAAGTGAGAGGGTTCTCGAAAAGGTCGGTACTGTAAATACTAATCGACACAGATGACTAGAACAGCAGAAGGAACAACTTAACTAACCCATTGCCAGGCTAAATTCGTCCAGTATCCAACACACACCTGAATGGTACCCAGACATCAGTCCTCCAACTGTGAGGTTGTAAAAGATGTCTCTAAAATAAAGACAGAAGGACCTGATGGAGTGATTCTAAAGGTGTTTAAGGATCAGGATGATAACTGCCAACTGGCTTAACTAAGATACTTGTTAATGAATGGGAATTTGAAATGGCTTCGTTGAAATGGTATAAATTACTGATTATCATAGTTTACAAGAAGGGATTACCTTGACCAACACAGTTAGCTAAAATTTTAGATTCAATAGTCATGTATAGACTAAGTGATGCAAGGGGGGGAACTAACTCGTGAAAACTAGGCTGGCTTTAGGCCCATAAAAGGCTGCAGTGATCACATCTTTACCCTTCGATAGACACTGGAACATAGGTATACCTACAAGGGTACAAGAACTGACATATTTTCTGACCTATAAACGGCATCTGATTCTATCCACCGAGAGGTGATGTGACGATGTCTGACCGATAAAGGACTTTCAAGAAAGAACATCGTAATAATCAAGGCGTTCTACTTGAACTCACACATCCTTATGAGACAGTAAAAGGAGAATCCTCATCTCAAGCGATGACAACCAGGTGTCAGTCGCGGAAACTCAGTCTGTATTATTATTTAATTTTATTATGTATATACTAATGGATATGACACTGATCTCCGTCTGTTTTCAACACAGAACTTTGCACCAATGTGCACCAGTTCAAGTCGCCTCACTCTCTCCATGTAGCACACAAATCAAGAGAAGAAAATAGAAGAAAGGTTTAATAGAGATAGCAAACAGAGGTGTGAGATAAATGAAGAGTAATAACGAAGAACAATATAGTTTCATTGGAAATCATAAGTCATAAGGAGTGGATGCATCTACGCGCCAGTCATTGAGAACGATCACTCTGAGCCATATCACCAATTGTTTCCAACCATTGGTTTTTACTGTACCGAGGATCACAACCAATCAGGAAGTCTACATCTTCCTACGTAGCTTAAACTAACTGTCGTAGATTTCATTGACTGATCAAGCCATTTTTTGGTTTGACCACCACTAGCTCTTTTCCAGCCTGACCCTATGTCAGCTAACATTGCCCGTCAGTTGAGGAAGGCGATGACTAGGCACGCATGCATAACACATGTCCTAACCATCTCAATCTATGCAGCTGCGTCGCAGCCTCGTCTATTGACTTCCCCTCCCTACCTAGCACTCGACTCACGCCTAACCTTAACATCGCTCACCTTATTATACCAATTCACACGGGAGATAGAGCGCAGGCCACCTATGATCAAAGACAGCTAATCTTTTCGTGTCTTCCACTCTCAATGTCCAAATCTCACAGCCATAAAGGAGGACGGAGCGGACTGATGAGCAGTACACCCGCCCTTTGGTTGATAGCCAGCCGGATATCACATCTACGCCAGAGACGGCGTAAAATGGCATATGCGAAACTAGCCCTCTGTATCCGTGCTGAGATTTCGTCAGAGATCAACCCGTTGGGGCTGATATATTGTCTCATAGTAGGAAAAATGGCTAGATTCTTATAAGAAAGTATACAATTAGACGGATGAATGAATGAATCAATCAATCAATCGATGAATAAGGCGCATACATTACCTTTTCCTTGCAATAATCTGACTAACATATCCGGCTTGTCTTTATCTTCCACATTGAGGATTTCTTGAACAATATTCTCATTAGTGCTGCCTACACGTCCAACGGCCAAGAATACATACGAGTGAAGAAAATCACGTGCTAGGGTCTGTAAAACAAAAAGTGTAAAAGAAAATATGAAATGAAATAATAATTTCGATAAGTTGAAATATTTGATTAGATCCTCTGAGAGAGTTCGAATACACAAAAAAATCATTCGAATAGTTTAATAGTATAAGAGAAGAGAGAAAAACCGATCAGTGGTTACACATACTTGAATTTCTTTTGGAAATGTAGCAGAAAACATCAAGGTTTGTCTTTTTCCAGCTGGTGGCATTCCATGCTGTTCAACTATCCGACGAATTTGTGGTTCAAAACCCATATCAAGCATCCGATCGGCTTCATCCAAAACGAGATATCTGTATTCAAAAAATAAGGAATTATATTATAAAAATAATCAGACGTACCTAATTTGCTCCAGACTCACTTTACCCCTGCTCATCAAATCAACAAGGCGTCCAGGCGTTGCTACAAGTAAATTGCAACCATGAGATAAATCTCGGATTTGGTTCAAAATCGATGCTCCACCATAAACTACGCAAGGTTTAATGCTGGAACGATAGGCAAACTTTCGAGCTTCATCGTAAATCTGACAAGATAACTCCCGTGTTGGGGCGAGGATTAATGCCACAGGACATGCAGCACAGTTTAGTGCCTAAAACATAAGTAAAAATTTCGTAATTCATGCTTACAGATCCTTCAGGAGCTTCACAACCTTTGTCTTCAAATAGCATATTAAGTATAGGGAGAAGAAAAGCTGCTGTCTTCCCTGAACCTGTTTGAGCGCATGCCATCAGATCACGCTTCAGAGCGATAATTGGCAATGCATACTTTTGTACTGGTGTAGGATGAATGTACTGTGCCCTAGCCACATTATCTTTGATTATTTGATGCAGTTCAACATCACTAAATGATTTTATAGGTTCCACTGGTGTCCAGTTCGGTCCAGATTGTGTAACTGGTATACTATCGTATAATTGAAAATTTAAAGCACTTTTCGGTTGTTCAAACAACTCATATTCACTTTTCTTCAAAGGTTTCGTCCACATTTGCCTATCATTATACTGTTTATTCATTGGACGATGTACAACACCACTAAAAAAAAAAGAGCAGTTAATGTTGAATTGTAATATTACCCATGATTTGCAGTTCCATTGTCGAAGATAATCGGTGGAGGACCAAAAAGGCCAATATTATCAAGTCTGTGAATTGGATTCCATTGATTAAACATTGGATAGCCATTAGACTGTGGTGTCATGCTTTCCGCATTTCCGTAGCGTGATAACCGAGGGGCATTCCGTCTGTGGTTGTTGGTTGGAAGGCTTCCATAGGCTTTAAAAACTTGATCATTTGAAAAAAAGCATGACGGATCTGCGAGTGGTTGTGACGCCTCCCTCAAGTTAAGATAACCAAACTATAAAGTAAAAAAGGATTGAAAGAGATATGAAAGAATATTAAGACATTGAAAAAAATTCTACTCACTTTAATGGCTTCTAATTCGTTAGTTAACACGTGATGCAAACAATTATCTGATAGGGACTATAGTTTGAGATGTATTAGTTAGTTAGAACTTGGTAACTCGGCAGAGATTACCCATACACCATGCCAAACATAGTGCGAAAGCTGGTGATACTACCCAATCACCGAATGTGAAGTATCGGACCTTAGACCCAGTGGATGAAATGCAACGCTAAGATCGGAAGACCATCATTTAGCAGAACCTTATTGAGAAGCTAATTATCATTTCCTTGAAGATCAGAATTTTTATACGTCAGTATAAATTTAATCATACCGAGATTGAAAGCCTACAATGAAGATGCTACAGTCATGGGGTCTTTTGAGTACTCTGAGAGACTCACTGTCTTAAAACAACACATGATGCTACCGTACTGGTCTGCATCTAATAGATTGAGGATGGGAATTGAAGCTGTTGAGTGTGACTTGACCGCTTTATTTCTCTTGCGGATTACATCAGCCCTAACAAACACGAAAATAACAAAATCCTATCAGAGACACGAAGAGCCCATTCAGCATATTTGTGTGCTTATATCATCCTTGACATGTTAACCATCAGAAAAACAGGTGTGATATGCAATCATTCGTTTGTTTCTATTTCACAGCCTCTGAAAACGTAGGACTGGCTGCAGATTTTTGGTGACAGTTCAAAATTGTCTGTAGTAGAACATATGTCACCGCCAAGACCTTGAAACTTCATTTAATCATTCGCTCCCTCCCACCCCACAGTATTATCTAATATAGTTTTATTACCTTACTTTCGATTTGATGTTCCTACTAGAGCTGACAAATTGATGCACTTTCGGAGTATAAACAGAAGAGAAAACACAGCCATGTAGACATCTGTCTGTCCGTTTTCAACATAGAACTTTGCACCAAAGTGCACCAGTTCAAGTTGCCACACTCCCTCCATGTAGCACACAAATCAAGAGAAGAAAATAGAAGAAAGATTTAATAGAGACAGTAAACAGGGATATGAGACAAAAGGAAAGTAATAACGAAGAACAATATAGTTTCATTGGAAATTATAAGTCACAAGGAGCGGATGCATCTGCGCCTGTCATTGAGAACGATCACTTTGAGGCATATCACCGATTATATCCAGTCATTGGTGTTTATCGTCCCAAGGACCCCAACCAGTCAGGAAGTCTACACCTCCCTATATGACTGGCTGGCTGGCTTAAACTAAGTGTTGTGGGTTTCATTGACCGACAAAGCCATGTTTTGGTTTGACCACCGCCAGCTCTTTTCCAGCCTGACCCTACGTCAGCTAACATTGCCCGTTAGTCGAGGAAGGTGATGACTAGGCTGGGCATGCGTAACACATGTCCTAACCATCTCAGTTGATTAAGCTTCACAGCCTCATTTATTGATTTGCCCTCCTTACCTAGCAATCAACCAATGCCTAGCCTCAATGTTGCTCACCCTATTATACCATTTCACACGGGAGATAGAACACAGGCACCTATGATCAAAGGCAGCTAGTCCTCTACTCTCAATGGCCAGGTCTCACAGCCATAAAGGAGAACGGAGCGGACTGTAGATATATACTGTTTGTATTTGGAAAGGATGTCAAAGTGAAATCCTTCAAAAGTGCAATTAAATTTGTCACCTATAAAAGTGGTATACAAACATACACAATACAATAAGTTACCGAAGTCCCAAACGACACATGTATTCCACGGAATAATATTCTTATTACGTTAATCGACGAATGCACACTGAAGGAATATGAATACAAACCCTAATAGATTTACCTAGACTTACTCTCATGTAATTACTATTTATGATATCGTTAGGGCAATCAAGTGTGTACTATAATTTCATTAGTTTGCGGGTCCAACAGGACATGTTGACTGTTGGCATGACGAATTCACACCCTTAGCAGTAAGACCATATTATACACGGAGTTCTCCCTAGACAGCAAGATTATTGAAGACATTTCAGAAGGCCCATTACAAAATTATTTGACCGTGGAGAACACCATGACTGTAAGGCATACCACATCCGTACCATCAACTTGCTAGTGTCGTAATCTAACCAAGGTATTACTCCCACCGATGGGGTTAATATATGAAACCTCGAGAATTTCAACTGCCATTCGTCCACAAGACTTGAAATACTTTCCACCAGCGTAACTAGAACCACAAAATCTGTTCACATCCAGAATGGTCCTACATGTACTGCCCACTCTGACCAAAGATAAATGGGTTACATACCAAAAACAGTTACCACATAAAACCGTACAGATATTATCTATTCAGATAGTTTACAATATTTACAACTGTAAACTAGCTAATTGTCTTCTAAAAGTGTGTGAATCAGTTACTTACTAAACTGTGAGGTATAACCAGTCCTACCCACTAAACCGACTTTAAAGCAATAAGGACTTCAAGCAGTAAGCTGAAAAACACCATATTTACCAGTGAATTTTACCACACGAGACTTTATTTTTGGTATACTGCCCTAACATTTGACCCGAAAAAACCACAAAAGTCCCTAGAATCTGTGTGCATCGTAAAAGTAAGGAAGAGGGATAATTTAAACGGATAGCTTACACTATTTTCAAGACTTTCCATGGTACGAGGAAGCCTTTTAAAGGCTACAGAACACGGGTTGACACCATTTTACACATCCCTCCCTATTCAATGTGCCAATACGCTAGAATCAGGCTTTGGTTTGAAACTGGGCAGTAAGTGCCTGTAATGTAAATTTTATGGTCTACAAATCCAGCTGAAAGTCACTGGTCAAGTTTTGGACACTTAATATACCTTTCTTTCACCTGAAATAACCTTTACTATTGCGAGATCTCTGATATATTAAGTGGTGTAAGAGATGTAGAAACTGGGTATATGATATACATTTCTACAAAACGTTAGTGAAAAAAGGTTGAAAATTAGCATATCTTCCTCCTTCATTCTCTAGAAGGTGTAAAGTTTCTCAAAAGTGAACTCTAATAACTTGTAAAAACGTTGTGTCTTCTTGTTTTAATCTCTTAGTTCAGATCGTTAGTACACAATCGGAAGACCCCAGTATAGTATGCCCCTGGACTGGTGCAGATATGAATGCAACAACAGGGAGAATTTTAATTTACACAGAAGTTGTAGGGGACTAATATTAGAGTTCACTAACATTCCAAGTATAAAAGTAATAATCCAAGTCAGTGGAGTGTTAAATCACAATATATTACCAAAAATACAGTGACGACTTATAGCAACAAAAAGGATTACTTGTAGATAACTTCTAAGTCCTCGACTACAAATTAATTATATAATCCACGGGCACGTTAATTGTTTGGACTGCGTCTGCTGTAGCTGCTGTGTTCCGGTTGTAGAAATGTCTTCGGTTGAGAGTAGTAGGCTCCTACAATAAATCCGAAGTATACAACACGGTGTGAGTGGAGCAAGTAAGCAGAAGTGACCAGGGAGAAGACGAAGTCTCCAACAAAGTAAATGTACTGTTTGTATGAGGGAGTTGACTTTGTCGGGAATTAAAAACTTTATTTAACTGAAAGAGCCCTGAGAAAAGCCGAAAAACAGTCTAGACAGAATTTATTAAGAAAACATAAATGAAACTGAAACAGTCAGTGGACAAAACAAGTGAAAGATAGTTTCGACGACCCATGTAAAATTTTGGGGGGGGGAGGAATTCCGGTAAAAACAGAATATTTCCTCGAAAATTACTCCTCAAAATTTCGCCAAAATGCTCCTAAATTGCCCTTATATTTTCTTTAATAACAATAGCCCTTACTTATTCTTTTCGACTTGCTGCTGGTACTAAAAGGACCTCTCTCACTAATTTTTCTCAGTTTATCGCTGACTACTCATTGAAACTATCAGCGAAGTCAGCCTTCCAAACAATTATGAATAAATTCGTATATCATACAGACACCATGTAAATAATGAAAATTATGTTGATTGAAACGCGCCTGTCTTCCTATCTTAACTATACCCATAACCAGGCCCTTTCTGACTCCCGCTTAACTAAATTCTTGTATAAATGTACTGTTGATTTCAAACCCTTATCCATTTGAAACATTCTTGCGTAACTCTAGAACATTCTTTAGGCGTTTCTGCACATATCAAGGAGTTTAATAACGACTTGCATCCCTTCTCCTTATGACACTCAGTCACACTTCGCCTTTAAGACCGATAGCAAAGGTATTTGAATATTTTACACATTGATATGATATTGTTCATGGTTGTATACATCTGGCAAGAACCAAAGAAATATGATGACATCTTATCCCGCTAAATTCGTTCACCTTTCTTTTTTAAACTCCATCAGAGGGAATAACTGCGAAAATTCATTTATTCATCAAGCTTTCTTCACCTGTGATGTTAACGGTAGTGTCCTATAAAACAAAATTGAAAGGCGTTATGGAAATACCGTTACTGAGTTTATATTGATGAAAACATAATACGTAAAAGAAATTTATTCATTTTGAATCCCGTGAACAAGAAACAAATGGAAAGTAGCCTTAGAAATTACGTAAATTTGATTCGTACCAATATTAATGCCGCTTAAACATCACTAAAAGACAAAGCACCAGTGACAGATGTCGAGAATCGGTCGTCTTATTTTTGCCACTTGTGTTACCTACCTTTGGGCGCATTAGCCCCTTTAATCTATCTCTAAAGTCAGGTGTAATCTAGGGCCTTATTGAGTCTTGTATCGTTAAAGTATTCGCTGATGAACTTCGCTTTAATAAAGTCCCAAAATTAAATGACTAGTATACTGCATGCTTCTCATTATTCGATAGAAGAAACTTCTAAGCCCTTCTTTCTTGGTTATGCCTTGTCAATGGAGTTGAAGATTGAACGATCAATTCTTGGTTGTTTGCTCAAAATCAACTTCCTCGATTTTCGCGGAGGCATCAATACGACAGTCATCGTCTCATCGGTCGCTGTTCAGAAAGAAGATTGAAACATCGTCAGAAGTAACAACGATTTATTATTGTAATATTTGTTTACAGACCTTAGTCTTAGTTGCTTAGTTCGTTTATTCCTTTTATATGTTGGTGTAACAATACAAAATATCAAACGGCAGATCGGTGTTTTGGTTTTTGCGTCCGTTATAACTAAGCGTTTCTCAGAAATCTTCTAAGAACAGCGTGGGCCCGAGCGTAGCGAGAGCTGGGCATTAACGGTTTATGAGACTTTGCTGACAGTTTCTGACGATGGAAACAGATCTGGCGGATTGAAACAGTTGGTGAAAGTTTGGATAGTCGCCGTTCATTTTTCCTGGTGCCGGTCAAGTCCTCTTTGAACAAGCAATATCTGGAACTTTTTGGAATTGGGTCAAGTTCAACAATGCCTGGGTCAAAGAAGGGACAGAGTGTCTTGGATGCAAACAGGAAAGTAAGTCATGGTGACTTGTCTGTTAATTGTAACGATGTGTCTGATGTTAAGCATGACATGGTTGATGTTACTGTTTCGCCGTTCAGGGATAATAGGAACATCAAACTCCCTAAATTTGAACCACGGTGTTTTGATGGAAACCCGGCTGATTATTTACAATTTGTAAAGGAGTTTGAGATCATGTTGAGTGGTTTTTTATTAAATGATGAATTGAAGTTAATGTATTTGATGAGATATTGCACTGGAGATGCTGCAAGAGCTATACAGTGTTGTAAGTTTATGAAGCCAAAGGAGGGCTACGATGAGGCTATGAGCATATTACGTCAAAGGTTTGGAAGACCTTCGATGATTGCAGGGAAATTATTCGAGGCTGTTAAGGGTAATGGTGGTCAATTACAGGATGACTCCCAGGCACTCACTGAGTTTTTAGATAATTTGCTAATTTACAAGAATGGAATGATTTCGATGAATCGCATGAGTGACCTCAACTCGAGTTTTATACTAGAAGTAATAGCAAGACGTCTACCTACTCGACTGCAAAGGAAGTGGGTGAAGATAAGCTCCCGTATGGAGGATGAGGGTATCGAGCCAAAGTTTGATGATATCCTGAAACTGGTAAATACTAGTGTCAATCAATCTATGAGCAAGTTCGCCAGTCTATTAGATCTCACCCCTAGAATAGAGCAGTCTGAGGGTAAAATGCAATCATTGATGACGAATAGGCCTCAGAGAGGTGGATATCGAGAAGGCTCCATGATGTCTAGTAATGCATATAGACCTAGTGAGTGTAACAGGTTTCGTAGTACATCCTCAACAGATAAGTTACAAGATGCAAGACAAACACGGTTGTGCTTGACACGTGTGCAAGAGGTGCATACAGAAGTGAACTGTGAACCAGTGAGCAAGTTCAGTGATAAGCTAAATGTAAACTCCAGGTCTGACTCCGAATTGTGTGACGATAACGGTGTTGTGAAGAAGTCTGTAGTTGCAACTGGTAAGCCGTTGTTGAATAGAGTGTCACAGAATAGAGTTACTGCTTCAGAGTGGAGTTCTGACTCCACAAGTTTACAAAGTATAACTAGTCAGAGTGAAGTTATAAAACCTTTAATGATTTTTGAGGAGGAACCAAAATTGTCTACTTCTGTTATTAAAGAGTTTGAAAATGATGAACTTGACGGTAAATTGAATATTTGTGGTAATGATCATGATAGTGCAGATTTGTCTTTGGTTGATCATTATGAGATGAGGGATATGCCTACTACTGCTAAGTTAAATAAAGGTTCTGTACAACTACAACGTGAAGTAGAATTGAACGCAGATGCAGTTCCAGAAGGTGTGCATACTTGTGAGACAGTCAGTGTAATTGATCAGCGTGTAGCCCACCTATCATCAGATGATAGTGCTAAACCCGAACTAGTAGTGAAAGACAGCAGTGGTGGTAATCTTGCAGTTGGACAACTATCTGAGAGCCGAACAAGAACAGCTTCTGATCCACCACTAAGTTCATCACCTTGTGTCACTCAGTCATCGTTGGTGTTTTCATCCACAATGAAACAGATGCCCATCAACTCAAGTATCTTGTGCAATGACTATGGTAGTATCAGTTCGTTTGAAAGGACGAATATCAATGGTCAGTTTAGTGTGGATAAGCCAAGTGTAAAGGAGAGAGTTATTGTTAAATTGACTTGCACGAATAAAGGCATTTCTAGTTTCAAGTTACTATTTGAATGTTATTATCTTTGGTGTAAATTACTCTGTTTCTATACTTGGTTGATGAGATATGTCGTGTGTTTGTTGGTCATCTATATTCTACGATACAATGACATGGGCGTGTTGCCGTTCAGATTTGAGGATATAGCTGATAGAAGGAAGTTAGCAAATGAACTCTGCGACGATTTTCCAACCTAGGGCGTCAACCTGAGAAGGGTTGTAGGCGTACTGCTGTAAGTCCTACAGTTCTTCAAAGGGTAGCGCATCAATGAGCAGTCCAATGTGCTTGGTGTATGATCTTGTACATATGTTCATATTGTATATACTGAATTGATATCATCTGTCATCTAGCTGTTGGTAATTCTGTTTGTGTCCGGACGACTTCCACTTGGATCATCAACCTGAGAAGGAATGTAGGCGTACTGCTGTAAGTCCTACAGTTCTTCAAGGGTAGTTTGTCGTGTCAGAATCCACAACATTTGATGTGTTGATTGTACATATGTTTGTGT